TAGTGACTGTACAGCAAAGGTGCAGCTGCAAGTGGGCGTCAGTCTTGAAGCAAGTGGCTTGATACATAAATGTGTAAAAATGTTAAACTAACTCGCCTAGCGAGGTTATCAGCTTGGTTTGGAACCCGCCACAAATGTAACAACACCTCGGTTGAGATACCCCTTTTCTGTGGACGACCCCCGCAAACAAATTAAGGATCACGATTTGAAGGCATGCACCTGGTATGTCCGGTCCCTTCGCAGGGGCCCGAAACGGTGTTGCCTGTGGTACTATAATTTATTCCAGTACAATAAAATATATGGCTGTCCCCTTATCGAAAAACACAATACCAAATCGATCATGTTGTGATAGACGGGTATGCCTCCAGTGTTCTTAACGTGCGTACACTCCGAGGACCCAACATCGACTCGGACCATTATCTTGTTGCAGCAAAGATACGCATGCGCCTCTGCGTATCGAACAACGCCCATCAACAAACACAAGAAAAGTTTGACGTTGAAAAGCTGAAATCACAACAGACTGCCGAAGGATTTTCTACTCGACTTGCACTCCTGCTCTCTGAGAGAACTCATCAGCAGCTCGGTATACGGGAACTGTGGAACTACATTTCAAGCTCTCTACGTACAGCTGCAAACGAAACTATTGGATTTTGTAAAGGTCGCAAAAACTGCTGGTACGATGAAGAATGCCGTGTCGCAGTGGAAAGAAAACAGACTGCTTACCTCGCAACCTTGAGGTCGACCTCAACACGAGCGGGATAGGATAGATACCGAGAGAGTATGAAGAGCTTAAGAAGCTAGCCAACAAGGGTAATGCTAGAAAAGTTTATTAAAAGATCCGACGATCTACGGAAGGTTTCAAGACCGGAGCAGACTCTTGTAGGACGCAAAGAGAAGATCTAGCCATAAATGCCCAGAGCATATTAAATTTACGGAGGAAACACTTCTCCAACCTGCTGAACGGTAGTGAAAATGGAGAATCCGAACTACAATCGATGACAATGGAAAATCGTTCCATTACTTGATCATGAAGAAGTTCGCATGGCAATCGTCAGCTTAAGAAACCACAAAGCGACACGAGCTGACGGCCTACCGGCAGAAGTACTCAAACATGGCAGTGAAGAGCTGACAAGGTGCATGCATTAGCTACTTTGCAGAATATGGTTGGACGAAAGCATGCCCAACGTTTGGAATTTAAGTGTGCTCTGGACAATCCATAAAAAAGGGAACCCCACAGTCTGGGCAAATATTCGTGGGATAAGCCTCCTTAAAATCGCCTATAAAGTCCTGTCGAGCGTATTGTGCGAAAGACTGAAGCCCACCGTCAACCGTTAGTCGTGGTAAGTCAACTTTTTACCAGATATGCACCATGCGCCAAATCTTGGTAGGGACCCATGAACAGAGGATCGACACCCATTACCCCTTCGTCGATTATAAAGCCACCTTCGACAGCACGAATAGGAGGTGCCTCTATGTCTGAAATTGATATCACCGCAAAACTTATACGGCCGTGTAAACTGACACTAGACAACACTAGAGAACCTTTTCGCACCGTTCGGTATAACAGGAGGTTTCAGACAGGGTGACTCTTTGTCGTATGATTTCTTCAATTTGATGCTGGAGAAAATATTAAGAGCTGCAGTGCTGAATTGAGAAGAGTGTACAACTACTGCCGCACGCCGATGATATTTACATTATCGGCCTTAATAACTGCGCCTTTATTTCTGCTTTCTTCAGGTTTGATAAGGAACGAAGAGAATGTACCTGTAAGTGAACGAGGACAAGACGAAAAACAGTCATCGCATTCGCCACTTGGCTCCCACGTCACTGTTGACAGTCATACCTTTGAAGTCGACATCGAAAAGTAAAGTCCTCTCCCGACGAAAACCGAACTCAACAAGTCCCTCATCGCTCTTGTGTTGCTATTGTATAAGGTGCGGAAACATGGACGATAACAACATCTGATGAGTCAGCGTGAAGAGTTTTCGAGAGAACGATGGAACGATGAGCTGTAAGAGTTATACGGTGACATTGATATAGTTCAGCGAATCAAAAAGCAGCGGTTACGCTGGCTAGGTCATATGGTCCAGTTGGATGCGAAAACTCGAGCTTTGAAAGTTTTGTTAACGAACTGACAGAAAATTGGAGAAAAATCCATAAAATATTGGCAGTGCTTAAGAAGCGAAATCAGCAGTGATAAGTAGATATGATGTCGTCAGCGTTAGTCTATACAAAAGTGGAAAAAAGTGCTTCGGAATTATGCTTTTGTCAGCAACGCCGCAAATAATTAAGGAGTAACTGTCATAAATAAGTGGATATGAAACGGCAGTAACGGCCTTATAATTTCGGTTCTGTATGACTGTTAAACTAACATTAAAAAAAACTTCACACTTAGCTCGCACCGAAATTTAAAGAAATTCGCAGCAAATATCGAAAATCCTCCCAAATATCCAAAATTTTTTTATGTATCGAACTTAACCATGATAATGAAAGTAAAAATACCAGCCCGTTGGAAATACTAAGAGAAGCTAGGTCGCTCTTAACCTGATTCTTCCAGCGGATTGAATTTCTTCTTCTTCCTCTACTTGCAACTGTTTAGTGCGAACCTAGTCGCGAATATGATGACTGTTTGTTTGATGACCGGAGACATTTCGTCATGTCCTCGTGTACTAATAGATCCATTCACTTCGCTCTTTTATCAAGTTTGGAGAGAGTAGAACTAGCGGCTTGGTTGATATCCCTACCATCGGCATACGCCAGTACTTGAACACTGTTGCAGCATCACTCCCGGAAATTTTTACGATTGACTATAATGATATTCAATAATGGTTTTTTCAAACCCAAAAATTTATAAATGGAAATATTGTAATGGACGAAGATGTGACACTGTTACTTTGATCTGAAAATGACTTTCGTGCAATATCCTTCTGCTTTTTTTGCTCGATTGCTCTATAAATTAGTTTGATTATGTTATTTTATACACATTGGTAACTGCTCCCATAACTTTTCTTTTATTTAGAAACGATACAAAAGAGAGGAAAACTGAACTGAAATTTGGAAGTGAATAGACAAGTCTAGTTTCTATAACATTTGCTATGACGTATTAATTTCCACCAATTAGTGTAGTCGTGAAAGATTGGTTCGAAATTTTCTGATTCGTTTCAAGGGCTTACTATTTGTTGCTGTGGTTATTCGTGGTCCTCGATAATGTCTTTTGTCAGCTTAAACGAGATGGATACCCTGCAATCAACTTTGAATAAAAAAGACAACTTGTGGCTTACAATCTTCCAAAAAACAATTTTAAGATCGGGGCGGTTATTTAATCTGTACTAAGAACTAATTGTAGTTATTTTGTTAGAACTTTGAAGCAGAAGAACAAAAAAAAAGTTATTTATTTTACAATAGTATGGCGTCACGGTATACGATAGAGATATGAGGTACTGGCTGTGTATCTGGTAATTCAAGACTATAACGGTTTAGTTTTTTTTTAATATCAGGTGTACAACTTTGCTACCGCCGTTTTCCGATAGATGGCTGTAGCGGCTGAGGATGTTTGAAATACATAGATGATAATGCCTTTAAAGTGAGTGTGGACAGTGCCTAACGAATTGTCATCGCCGCTTCAGTGACAGTTGTTCTTGTTTTCGTATTATTCACGCTCGAAAATTTCCGTTTATGTGCCTAATTCTCGCCATTTGCGGGGAGTTTTTACTTTTCTGTTACAATTCGAAAAAAATGCAGCTGAAGCACATCGAATGCTCTCAGAAACTTGCGGTGATGCTGCTCTGAGTGAGAGAACGTGTCGGGAGTGGTTCGAGTTCGAGTTGGTCGAAGTCAAATATGGTATTGGAAGAGAAAAAACCTTCAAAGATTTACCACGAGCTCTTAAAACTGGGTGAAACCATCACAGGAGATCGCTACCGAATGCAACTGATGCGTCTTAGTCGCGCGCTAAAAGAAAAGCGGCCACAATATCAAGAGCGACATGACAAAGTCATCCTCCAACACGACAATGCTCGGCCTCACGTCGCAAAAGTCGTCAAAAAGTACCTTGAAACGCTGAAATGAGTAGTCATGCTCCACCCGCCGTATTCAACAGATGTCGCCTCTTCTCACTTCCACTTGTTCCGTTCGATGGCACACGGCCTGGCAGATCAACGTTTTCAATCCTTCGAACAATTGGAAAAATGGATTGCTTCATGGATAGCGTCAAAAGAGGACTATTTTTTTCGAGCCGGGATCCGAAAGTTGCCGGAAAGATGGGAGAAAGTTGTCGCTAGCGAAGGACAATACTTTGAATAATATACCTGTAAGCACTTTTTCGTAATAAAGCTTTGAATTTTGGAAAAATAAACGGCGGAAGCAAAGTTGTACACCTGATATACAAAATGATATTTTTTTAATTTATAAATATTTTTCACAAAAATACATCCAGCTATAGTTTTTTCGTTGTGGCACCACTCGAAAATCTCAAAAACTCTACATATGTATTTCACTCTCATAAGTCTCGTATCTCATTATCTTAGGAAATGAACTATTTGAATTGATACTACAAAATCAAGAATACATTGTGATGTTTAATTTTTACCATAGCGGTGAAAACATTGGAAATATCACGGTGAAAGTAATTGTCAGAATAAATTTAATTTTGATTTTTATCGCCTTGTGTTGGTTAACACCACCATAACCAGCGTATCCGTAATTGGTTGACTTGGTGTTGTATTAGTGCTTGATCGGACCCGACTTTTTGCAGTAACTTATTATATATTGTAGACGTATATGCATTTGTATATATTTTGAAGCCAAAACATTTTTTTATAGGGATGGAGATACTTTATGTCATTTATTTTGTTGTAACTTTGCTAGCTTCTCACTTTTTGTCTCATTTCCAAATCGTTGCATGGAAATTTTGTTTGTGGAAGCGTTCCAATTTATGTTGCTCGTAATTTTGCGATGATGGTAAATGTTACTGCTGTGTTCGTAAACTTGGCAGCCTAACCTACTGTCACCCTACCTTACAAGTGGCTTTAGTTTGTTTGTCTACTTTGCGAAACCGGCCAAACCAATTGAAACATAACGGTCACAACTTGCCTCACGAGCATAACTACAATATAATGCCAAAGTGAGCTTTCGTAATACATTTGTGCTTCGGCTACTTTGCATATCGCGGACCTTACGTTGCAGTCTTATAATTTAAGGATATATCTCGATTTAAAGTTGTATTGATTAAAAAAACAACAAAATTTATTGTAAAGGAATGGTGAAATCTCAAAGTGTTGTCGAAAAAATTCAAGGTGAAATGGCAAAAACGTTAGACCAGTGCGCCCTAAACCAACAGTTTTCCTAGAAACAGTTTAACTTTCCTTGAAACAAGCGAGTTTTCAATAAAATTCAAATTAAAATAACATGAATTTTTGTGCAAAATCTTTTAATGCATATACGATCTTTCGAGACAATCCATGTTTAATGAATGTTAACCATAAATACTACACTACAATGCCGAAACACAATAAATACCTGCATTCAAAATATACAGTATAATATATGGATATACAAGGGTATGGGTACATATCTATAAATGTACATATGTGCGTTAAATTAGTGATTCAAACGCTCTAACCAGCACGTGCCCAATTTTTTTCATGTATCAATAAATGAAGCCGTATTGACCAACATATTACAAAATGTTTGTATAATGGGTTTATTTGAGAATAACACGTTAAATTCAAAGAATAGTCAGAAATGAGAGATTTGTGTAAAAATGTATCGAAGGTAAATTATATATATATATATATATATATATATATACGCAGGTGGAATTACAAAAGTATCTTATTAAATCTATAATACAAAATAAATAAAAGAAAAACAACATCAATGGCAAACGGAATCAGTTACATATATATATGCAAGTACCTCCACATAAGAATTTAAACACATATTCTTATCCTTACCTCCCAGCCGCGATAGTCGGGTGGTTAGAGCTGCCATTCTGATAGACAGGGTTAAAGTCGTGGTTTGACCAACATCCAAAATGATAGAAATTTAATTTTTCTAGCGGTCGCCCCTCGGTAGAGAATGTCAAGCCCCCCGAGTATATTTCTGACATGAAATAAAAAATCCTCCATCGGCCATTCGGAGGCGACGTAGAATAAACTCTAGGTTTCTCTATTTGTTGTAAAATGTAAAAACATTAGGTCGCATAGCACAAATTTAATCTGAGTGCCAATTATTCCTATATATATATATATATGTTATATAAATATAAATATAACTCACAGTAAAATTAAGCATATGGCTTCAAATGTCTGAAAAATTATAACTTATGTTCATTCATAGTTAATATCCAGAGACGTCCTAATCATTATTATTAAGAGAAATATCTATGATAATAATAAACATGTTAATATACGCAATGATTATACTCATACAATTTTTCAAGTTATTATTTTTACTCAATTTATTTTGGAAAAATATACAACAAATTATATATGTATATCTATACATTAGCTATAATAATGAAATATTTATTGCAGTTGTTTATGAGCATACATATAGGCGTGACAAAAACAATTTAGAATGGCTTAATCAACTTAGGCGCCACAATGTCGCCGTTTGTAAAATGTCTCTTGTCTAGGAATCGTTTGCTTTGTTGTTGATATTGTCGCCGTATTACAATATGAGTTGAATTTACTTTACATACATGTTGTCTACATTTTATATGCTCCCTTGTCTCACTACATTAAGGGTAATCGTCTAGAAGGAGAGAATCAAATAACTTTAATAAGTAAATTTATATTTTTACTATGTATAATTTTTTTTTTTTGTAGTAAAGAGTAATAGTTAACTTTACAAGCACTAATAATATACGATTTTTTCTGTTATACCTCTAATACTGTTTATTGGGAGTTTAAAAAGCGGAGTTTCCCATGTGCTCACGGTTATGCAAAAGTTATAGAAAATTAATTTAAATAAAAAATTTAGTATTTCTGACATGAAATAAAGCTCCTCATAAAAAACCATCAGCTGTTTGTGGGCGTCTTAGTATTTACTGTAGGTTCCTCCATTTGTTGCAATAACATCTACGCAAAATCACCACCTGGGAGAGGAGCTCGGCCGAAAAACGCTTCAGAGTTTACAAAGTACCAAATATTATGTATATATAATATATGTAATTATGCATAAGTCAATGTCAAAGTGTTAAATACGTGACTTTTAGTATCATCTACATATTTTTGCGACATTGACTCATGAAGTTGATATTCATCACATCAAATGAAACAGGCAAACGGTTATCTTGGCTTTGGACCATCGCAGAAGCTTGCCTCAAACTATTACGTTTTTATTTGTGAAGTAACCCTAGAAAAATTTAAATTAAAAATGAAAATAACTAGTTTTATCAAAAAAAAAAGAAAAGAAAACTTTAGAAAATGTTGTATGCATCGACTTGAGAACCATTATTTCGAAAATAAATAAATATGTATTTAATCTATGAATTAAATGATATATTATAAGTTTTATTTATGAGCTAAAATAATTTAGTAGTTCGAAAGTAAATATAGTTTAGTTTAGGTATGGAATTGAAAATATTGAATTTTATTTAACAACAGCGGGCCATTCATTCTTTTCGCCAATTACGGATAGGTTCTTCTCCAACTGGTCTTTTCAATGGAGTGGAGGTCTTCCCTTCCCCTGCTTCCACTATTGAAATCTTTCAAAACAGTTAGATAAACTGAAACAAAGTTTTCAAAAATTTCGGTTTCTTGGTGATATAGGAACATAACATCAGAAGTGCCAAGTGCTTGCTTTGCTGCTGATTTCAAAAAAAAATATTATTTTTGCATGTTCACAATTAATAGATGACAAGATATTTTATGAACAAGAAAAATCATTTATTTTAATAGCATATATTACAAAAGCTTCTTTTGTTTACTATATACCTTTCCAATAGACCAAATATGAAGTTTTAGTCTTCTGCTAACAATCAACGAATACGACCAGTGAGAACATTAAATGTGGTCATGAAAATATTAAAAGTAATGAGGTTATACATTATTTGCTATTTGGAACTGACTTATTTCGCATTATTATTAAAACCAGTAAAAAACGCAGTAACTGGTAATATCACCAATGTAGCGTATCAATGTCGACTTTGGCCAACTAATGTATCCTATGATATAAAATCAAATACAATTATAACAACAACCACTACTGGTATAACACATAATGTTTGTATTACATTATACATTACTCATAATTATCGACGAATTTTCAATTGTGATCAGAGAAATATTGAAATATACAAAAGCAATGGTGACAACAACAATACATTCAATGAACTATTGAAAGATAATAAAAATTCTAAAAATTGTATTAATTATGAGAGGAGCTGGGATCGTTATTTGGAACAAAAAACGCCAACTACATATATAAGCGTAACCAAAATTCAACTACAAAACATTCGCCGTTATTATAAAAATATATTTGAGATTACCCTTTGTATGCTATTCGCCATTGTTATGGATACAATACCGATCACAATTTATAATGTGCGCAAGCGCATACTGTTTTATTGGGGTAAATTTCAAATATTTTACTCTGTGCTTCCTTGGACCTTTGCAATAATTTTGTATCAGCGTAGACATATACTGTGTTCACGACATTATAGCGCTGTTAATTGTTTATATGATATTGTTAAGTTTGTCACAACGATATTAAAACAAATGGCAGGGCAGTCAAGTCAGAAACAGCAATATTCAATACGGAAGCAATTAACAATTTTTGCAGCTATAACTGGTAGAATATTTTCATTTTCTATCGAAGGCACTCCAAATCCAATCACAGATGTAGCGATGCCGGATAATGCGGAGTGCGCATATTCGAAAAACGGAATTTGTTTATTTTTATCTGATCCATCGACTGTTTTGGCAACATCAATCCTTGTACAGAGTTGCCAGAGGTCTTGCCAACATTTTCTGCTATTAAGGTTTTTTATCGATTTAGCAAATCGAAAACTGTACTTGCTCATGTCAAAGGAACGCCGTTTGTTTCGAAAACATTTAATTTTGCCAGCGTTAATATTGCATGAGTTAAATTTTGTTGATGTTCGTTCCGAATCTAAGTATTCATTTGGCATTACAGGCGTTGTAGAAATAGCAACTGGTAATATATTGGCACATCAAAAATTTCAAAAAGCTGTGATCACTCAATTAAGATCTAACCAGCCTAACACTTTTTTTGAAAATAATTACAATATATATGTGGAAACGTTTGAGAACAATACTTGTACTTTTAAAATTACAAAACTTCAAAATGAACATGAGCATAGAGCCGAAGTTATATTAAATTACAAACTTGATATCAATGTTCGAATATACGAAACACTATTGCTTAAATTTTTTTTAGAGATGCAACATAAATATATAACATATTTTTTAGTGCAACAGCTATCAAAGCATCGTCAACGCCGCACAAATCTAATGAGCGTGAAATCGAAATCACACTTTGTAATATCCAGAAAATTGAAGAAACATGTGAAGGCATTATCAAGAATTTATTTACTAACAAGGTCAAGCAATATTGCACTATCTGTATTAAAAAGGCCAAATATAATCGGTGAGAGTATTGATTGGAAATATTATCTTCATACTTTTATAAAATTAGAATTTTGCGGTTGTTCTTGGTGTCTTTATTTCTATCGGTATTGCACTGCACTACTTGGTAGAAATTTGAGGGTTTGTACGTACTTTTGTTGTAGACAATGGTGTTGGCGACAGAAGGCACATAACCTTTCACACTGCATATTCTGCTATTCTTATTTCCGTTGTTTTTGCTGTTTTTACTGTTGTTATTGTTGTTGTTGTTGCCGCGTTCATATATATCCCATTTCTAAGACATCGCTGAGAAAAAATTTTAATAAGAATCGAGCTTTCAACAATTGCGTTTTTGTGTCGCAAAAATATTGGGAACGTGTAAATACTAGCACTATACGTAAAAGGCGGCTAAATGCTAGGGAGAATAATAAAATGGCAAAACTATTACGGTGCTATCGACGTTTCATACAATCTCACCATCTTGTGAAAGTCAAATATGTATGCAACAATTCGCCTGAATTATATACCTGTTTGACAATCTATCGATTTCAGAACACACACCACTGTTGTTTGCATTCCACCTCAACTACGGCAGCTGTACCAACAGCAACATATACGAAAAGAAAACAAAATACCGAGGCAAAACATATGAAAACAATGAATTTAATCAATTTTATACAAATATGTGTGTTACATATTGGTAAAGGCATTTTTGATCAATTTATTAATTTGGCGGACTATATATGCCGCTTCACTACGAACCTGCGATTGAAAACTTCGGTGCCAGGATCGGCATCCATTGCTATAAAAGTTACAAGAGAACAGCAACAGCAGCAGCAACAACATCAACAACAAATGATCAACATTGCGCATGATCAACAATTGAAGATGAATTATTTGTGTAAAATTTTTTGCAACAACTGGAAAAGACACCATCGCAGGAGACGTCGTCGACGCCGCCGACGAATGAATAAACAAGAACAAGCACTTCAATCCGTCCAACCTAAACAACAAGAACATATAAACAGTGAAATAGAAAACCGTTTAGTTAGTCCTCGTTTGCATATATTAGACTTGAAAGCTTGCAAAACAATCTCAACAAATTTGCCACATTTGCACTTTGCTTTATTATCAAAAGCGTCAAATGTATTCATTTTGGCAGCAATGCGCTTAACGAATACAAAAATTGTCCAATTGACAAATGCTAAGCGTAAAGACATACTAAGCTCGCCACAAGGCTCAAATTTAATTTCAACACCAACTACAACTAGTACTTTGCGCATAAATCGAAATCGCACCAGACCGCATCTTGTATGGTTGTTTATTGGTCTCGTTTGGTTTGAAGGCCCGAAATACATAAATTGTACCTTACACGAAAACCGTCAGTCCCAACAGACTACTACTCAGGTCCAAGTGCAAGCACAATCAGCGACACGCAGTACTACTCAAATACCACTTCAGTCGCTTTCGACATTAACGGTAGTTTCCCAAAACCAACAACGACGGCAGCAACATATGACGCCACCAACACAAATATCCACGGATTTATTTTTATTAGCACCAAATGCTAAGCAAACAAAGAGAGGACAAAAAGTTCCAACTGCCACGACTTTCAAATATAAAAAAAAACAAAGAAAAAATAGCAATGTCAACGGAAAGAGCATTCGAAGCGGTAACTGTTTGCCAGCACGCAGAAACGCTGTAACGAGTATAATGACTACAACAAGAAATGACAAGAAATCTCAATCGGAAAATGACGAATTGAATTCATCTGTAGGCCGTGAACGTTCTGATTGCTTTGATACACATACAATAGAAGCGGAAACCGAATTATTGGACGAAGAAGGTGAGTTCTGATTATCTGTATTTCCTCTATATTTATGTACATACACACATACCTCTGGACTCTCGCAATTTACCTTTATTTGCTAAACTAAATCTTTTTTCTTAAACTTCTCTTTTAAAATATGATATGGAATTTTTGTGGTTGACCTGTTTAATTATGATTTTAAAAAATTTGCATCAAACCTTGACAACATTAAGTGTAAGTGTTAATTCATTTTTTTCCAACACAATTTCATTAGCATGTTCGATAAACATGTGATCCCTAACATATGAGAACTTTTATTGCAGTAGCAGTGCTAACACTTATCTGAATACAACTTCCTGTGTATCAATCATCACATATAAAACATTAGCTCTGCTTTAATATTATAACCACTAGTGAAATGCTCGTGGCTCAAATTCAAACACATATTGCTTTTTTATTTTTGAAAAAAGTTATTTTTTAACATAACTTAACCAATATGCAATGTATAAAAGCATCAATTGCTTATGTGAAAAAAAACTTTCAGCATTAATTTATATGAAATCGTTCAATATTTTGAACTTGATTATATAGAAGATCCGAGCAGTTAACAACGTGTCCTTTTATTATCTGCATATGTAAATGCAATTGTAATTCGATTTAAAAATGTGTCAATATTCATTAAATTCTCAATATTTTTCTTGCATTGAAAATTAAATACTCACAAAATTAGCTTAAGACTTATATTTTGGCTATATCAGAGGGGAACGTTTATTAAACGGATCTAATCTAATAAAATGCAAATTCTTTTAATTATATTTAAAAAAAATTCTTCATTTGAAGTGTGAATCGTGTTTATTGTTTGATTGACATCAAATTTGGTACATAGATGTCATTTTCCTTAGAAGCAGAAAGACTACAATTCTCCCCGAGAAGAGAACCACCCCTGGTTCAAAAAAATGTTTGGTTCGATTTACTGGAAACTCGGTACCTAGATGGATTTTAGCCAAGATTGACAGGAAGACTACACGTTAGCTTGCCCCTAAGCTATTCCAAATACACAAATCTTATTTATAGTTTGGCTTACTTTAAAAATAGGGCAATTCTTTTCTCCGGGAAGTGGATCAATGTCAATGATAAAACCAAAAAGTTTGTATTCCCCAGAATTGACTAAATAAAGCCATGACAAAAAGATATCACATTATTAATTTTTCATACATTCAATAAGTATGCGCGACAGCGAAGCGTTGCAGAATACAGCTAGTAATTATATAATATTTCTTTCCTTGAAAAGTATCCGCAATTATAAAAACGAAAGTACACGAATAGTTTTGTTTCCTTTTCAGCTTACTCTTGATGGTTATTATATATAGTTAAAGAGGATTGTAACCAATATGAATTTACAATAAAAAGATAGTTTTGTTTGACTTATTGACATTTTTTAAAAGATTCCACATTCATGTAGAGGTTTTAAAATAGGTCGGTCTGGTCAACATACCAGAAGAAAAAGCAATGTTCATGCATCGAATTGAAAACGTATCTTTGCACCAAATTTCAAGTAAATCGAGCTACCAATAGTAAAGGCACAAACTGACAAATTTTCAAGATAATATGCCGGCCAGTTTCAGTGTTGCTTGGAAATAACCATAAACAAATTTGTATGAAAGGAGGTAAATTTAACTCTTCCTGGGGATGAGATGGACAAAATGGAATCTCACTTATGCTGTGCACTACTCTTTTCGTTCACTTTTCAGTGAAATTGGTATCATGAGAGCCATGTTGTTACAGGTATTAAAAAGGTGCAGACCACATTTCTTTAACTGCATATTTGCGAGTATAGATATGTATATAAACGTATTTTGTAATTTTTTAGTCGTTTTGTTTGATTTCTTCGTCAAATGTTTTTAAAATATTTATTTGAAACTATGTATGTATGTATGCTTATACATACGTTTCTACAGTTTCATTTATATTAATTCGTAGCACATAATGTACAAAATGATCACATACGTCTGGAGTCCATTAAGCGACAGATATTAACCAAGCTTGGACTGAAGCACAAGCCCAATGTATCGCAAACGTTACCAAGGCAATTTATATGGGACACTATTTATCGGGCAGATGGTATCAAGGGTGTTGCCAGTGATTTTGATTTTAATGAAAATGGATCGCATCAATGGAAAATAATATCTAAAATAACTGATACAAAAGAAACGGAGAAAACCCATACCCACAACACAAAAGGAAGTAGCATGGCATGGCTTCCTTTAATAATTAAAGGTAAATATTGATAAAAAAAATTTATAAATATACATATACAGTGGCGGATCCAGAAACGACTCCTAATGGATTAAAAATAATTTTATGCAGCATTTTCCCATAGCTGGATTCGCTCCTGATATATATGTATGCAAGTAGATAACGAAAAATAGACAGGTGCAATGAAGACTATTTATCATTTAAAAATCGGGATGACATTTTGGTATCTTTCAGGAAATAACATAGGGTAAAGTACTTTAATAAGCTAATATTTTTTCTATTCAGGTTGGAATGCAGGAAAACAGCACAACAGGGAGTACAAAGCGTATTTGCAAAATGTTCTGTTAGCGAAGTCAAATAATTTCACATATCTTATGCGTATTAATACATCTAATTTAAACAAAGACTTTCGTGAAGTTGAGGAATCAGAAAGCATCGATAGGACTTACGATAACAGGGATGGTCTATATGTCATCGGAAAAGATCAAAATTATCAAATTAATCATAATCGTAATAAGGATGCAACTACTGCCAAAAGTCATAAATATAGCTCACATCAACTTGACTTTGTTATGTCATCAGATCAAAGACCCAATGAAAACGACGATTTTTTCGGCGATACACAAGAAATTATCACATTTGCTGAAAAAGGTAAGCTTGCAAATTAAAACAAATAAAGTACAAACAATTACACACATTAATTTTACTCAGATTAAGAATTTCATCGTAATTTGCCACTCATTTAATAATTATATATACGTGTATATGTATATATTTAAATAATCGGCTGAAGCGATTTTCGCCCAAGGTCCGTTTCCAACTTTTGGTTTGTGTCTTGACGTTTTTCCAAGTCGCCTTCGAACGGCTGATGGTTTTTTATGAAAAGTCTTTATTGTGTTATTAAATACTACTAGCGGTTTGATAAACCCTGTTTTTATCAACAATTTCTGTTTATAAACAACATCCTTTTGGGCTCTTTAACTCACTGTAGCAATATCAAATTACAACCAAGATATATACATTTGTATATATTATATTTTATACAATGGGCTTATATATATGTGTGTGGCGACAGCGATAGCCGAGTGGTGCGCATTGCATACTGACATTCGGAAGGCCAGAGTTCGAGTCCTGGTTTATCAGGTCGCCCTTTGGCACCTCCGAGTGTATTTATGATATGAAAGAAAGGCTCCTCATAAAAACCATCAGCCGTTTGGAGGCGGCTTAGGATAAGTTGTAGGTCTCTTCATTTGTTGTAAAAATATCAAGACACATATCACAAATTGGAGGAGGAGCGCCAATTATATATATATATATATATATATAAGTAAAATTGTTTTATTTAGCATGCTTTTACATATATGTACACATTATCTCCCCTAACTATAGTATTTAATATCTCAACTGTGCGTATGTGGAAATTTTACTCGCCACATACTTATATGCATAGCTACACCCAAATACATATACTTATTCACATGTCTGGATGCATTTGTAATAAAATGTTTGGCAGACAACGGTGTCTTAGAAATGTCTGCATGCCTACATGTTTGTATGTACTTAAATGAGTGGTGCTGGCTCACTGGATTAAACGCGTAACTAAGCTACCTATTTGTCTACAATGTTGTCTAGCCTATTATTCTCTGCCTTTATTTCTGGTGTGGAAAAGAACCGCTTAATCACATATGGAAGTATACATATCAATAGTGTTTTAATTAATATGTATCAAGAGTACTAAATACCGGTCATTGGAGCCAGACAATTTGTTGGTAAAAGTTGAAAATCAAAAGCGTGATAGGTGTGACTACGGTCGTGTCTAAGTTCATCTGCTTATCTTGCGTTCGATCAGCTGCTTTGGAATTACTTACAAATGTGAAATATTTCTAAGTAATTAAAATGACTAATACATACATCAGGCTGTAGTTTGATTGTTCATTTATTTGTTTTTGTGCAATATACGTAGTCTTGAATCTTTTCGACCGAGTTAAATTTTTTATATTACTTGTATAACGTTGATTAAGCCTTTAAAAATTAAAAATCTCTGCAGAAAAGTTCTCGGGGTTCACCATAAATACACGTGTTACCATGAGCCGACTACGTCTTATAAGATAAGGTTATTACCAGGGAAATCCCGGATCAGCTTCCATATCTAGTTAAACAAAGTAGTTCGTGGCCTACGAATGTTCTTTGTACCGCTTTCAATTAACTCTCCCCGGCAAAATGCGCCATACTATTTTCTTTTAGACATTGACATTTTCTTTTCTATTGCTGAGTTCAGTGTAGTTCGCATGTCTTTTGAGCACCATTTTGCTGAAGCCTGGCATTCATTTATATTTTACAAAAACATCTAACATGTTTAATACACCAAATAGAACCGTGTTGAAATACCCTTCCTATGAGATAAAAGCTGGGTATTTCCGGTATCGCACTTTGACTGATACGTGAAAAAAGCTATTTCCATTGTCCATCTGAGTAAAATATTTGGCGGACTACATTTTTAAAGCACATCTTACCTATTGGTACTACATAGAACAAATTGACTTATTTAAGCTTGTGTTAAATCAGTAAGTGGGATTGAGTGAGAATTTTCCTCCTAGAAAAAAAATCATTATAATTCTCACGTCGTTTCCCTTCGGTTTGTTTACAAATCTTGAAGCTATCTGTTAAGATAATTAAATTTACATGATTGTGTGTTTACTTTTATATGAGATTTTTAATACATTTTTTGTGACATGGGGTTTGTTTTAAATACCCAAATATTATTTGTAAATTATTGGTTATATTTATATTATTTAATAACACTTTTCTTTAACTTAACCCCATTAGTAAAACGTTCACTCTAGAACTCACCTAAGAAAAAGATTTTTAATGTTAATAGCATGCACGGCACAGCACGGCATGGCAAAGACTGTCAAAGAATTTTAGAGTCATATGATGGACAAACCGTTGTCCGAACCTAGGTTGTTCCAGTCACGCGGGTCTCTCGGGGCAGCTCGAGATCGTTGTCTGCAATAGGTAGTGGTTTATCTCCGAGTACGCCATTCACGGGAATGGAGTCTTTGAAGGTGTTGACTGACTTCTGGTGAATAGCGTTGAGAGCATGTCTGTACGCTATCCTATCCAGTGTTTGTTGCATATGTTACTAGATTGTGTCCCCTAAATCTAGTACTCCCATTCTGATGTGACTGATTGGAAGTTCAGCCTCTATTTTATGCCTATTGGGGTGCTCCCTACGGTAACATCCCAATAGTTACTGCTTGCACAACAAAGCGTAAGGAGCACAACTCGTAGCATAGCGATGTTTTGGTTTGCTTTTTCGGTCCTGAAGGCAGTGTTTTGACAAGCATCGGCATACAAAGTTGGGGAAAGAGGAAGTTTGTCTAATTTTCCTTGGCTTCGATGTTTCACTTCGAAATATTACCGATAATTGGCGATCACTCAGGTATCCCATGATCCACCTCTGTAACCCTGATGGCAATGATTATGTCACAATGTTCGAGACGCAGTGTAAAAACTCGACTAAAATAGCTTTCGCATCGCTTTGAGTCCGATGATGCGTGGTCACCAGATGAAATTTCCACTCGACCATAGCATCTGGTCGGGTTAGACAAGGATTTGACTGTAGGCCAGAGCTTTGTTTCCCCAGAGGAGAAATTGCAGGACCTTAAGTGTAGGCGGCAGTGGCCACGACAATCCTTTGGAAAAAACGTTCGTTCGATGGAATGGCGAGAACACTGAAGGCTTTCTCAATAAATTCTCTGCAGCCAAATGTCCTGTGGTCCGCGGAAACAAAGTCAGTAGGTCAGTCAATCGAGATTTGTGTGGGTAAGTGGTGCGATACTAGTGTCAGTTTGGGTCGTTAGATCCTGCTGTTTATCAGACTAGCACTCCGGTGGGGACGTTGTCGTTTATTGTGCAGAATGTCAAGTAGTCTTTCTGTTCCGCAAGATCCATTCTACGAACATTTGAATGTCAAAGATCGTGGTGCGCGCCAAATTCGCCCAAAACCAAGCGGTTTTGACCATTGAGTAGCGCACTTATAGCAAGACTGTATCCAACGAGCGACAACTTGCAACTGGATGAATGTATATATTAAATATCTTCAGCTCGACATCGCATGAGCAGGCGGTCTCGCCCTCTGAGTAGCACACTTATAGCAGGACTGTATCCAACACGGTAACTTGTAACTGATGAATGTATACATTATTGTAAATATCTCTACATCGCCTGACCGGAGAGTCATGTCATTAAGTCTAGGGTAGTATCCCTACGGTAGACGTCGGCGTCGATAAGACGATACTGCACAGTTTTGTGTAGGATGAACGGTAGGCCTCTACCATGGTCTCGCTCGCAATCCTTGCAGATTATGTTATATCCGGCCCGGCTCCGAAGATCTGAGCGAACAGTTAAACTGCAGCAGCTGTGTCTGCCTTGGAGGGACGTTCGTGATTGGGTGCCGCAATTGGCGGAGTTGTTGCAGATACTGCCGGAGGCAGACTCCTACACTCAAGAGTGGTACGCAGACCAGAGCATGTCCGAAAACGACACTATCCAGAGCAAGAATTGCATCTAACTGAGGCAGTGTTCCGACGAACTATGGTCTGAGACACGGAACAGACTGCGCGAGGGACTAAGAGCTTCTGGGTAGCCCTCGCACGGGAGGTGGAAGAAGAGCTGGTTGTGGGTAGGGATGGGAGTTGGTGGAAGTTAAGCTGCGTCAGCTTCTTGAGTCCGTGGTAGTATGTTGCTTACCCAAAGTTCGTAAAGGTGTTGAAGGAACTGATATGTAGACTAAGGACGCGCTAGCAACATGTGGCCACGTAACGTGTGGAACACTTGCTGTCACATCGTTGTGCAAATCGGAAATGGTTATATTCATTTGATTGCCATTATACTATATTATATGAATACAAATGCCTCAGTTAATACTTTGACAAGTAATTAAAAGTGTTTCTAAGACGTATTAATTGTGATTAGAAGCTAAAAAAATACATAGACAGTGTATTGTTCACTCGAAGTTTTTTACGCTTGCCGTGGTTATATGCCAAAAAGGAATCTTTTTATGGCTGTTATTACAAAATGTTTCATGTTTAAGTAAAAAAATTATGTTATTTAATATTAAAAACTAAAATCAATCTTAAAAAACGAAGTCCTATCTGCGTTCACCGTCAATGCTGTCTCATTTCGCTAACTTCCGGCATCTGCCTGTCATTGTTTGTTTGTTTCATTGTGTTTGGGTCTGTATTTTTGTTAATTTCACAAATCGGCTGCGTCCAATATGTGCCTTTTACTTTTTTCGAATGACAAAAACTATTCTGTACTGTAGAAGAGATCCAAATGAAAGAATCGTGCCTCGCTCCTGGGTACTAAGTATTTAGCGCCAAAGTTTGAGGTAAGTAGTACATAGCTATGTACAAATATAATGAACTGTGTTACTTCAAAATTTGAAAAAAATTAATCTCAGCATTTGCACATGGATTGAATGGTATTGATATTATTGTCGTATAAAACAAAACAATGGAAGACAAAGTTGCAGCCACTTCTTTAATTCCATAAGAAATTAGTTGTGCAAAAAAAAAAAAATAATAATAATAACAGTAATAAATAAATACTTTGGGTTTTTTATGGAACTGTTTCAGAAGATTTATTAT